GGGCCCTGCGATGGGGTGGGCATGGAAGGGCCCCTTCCCTCTCCTCTAGCCCGGGGAGGGGAGGGGGACTCCCTGAAGCGCAGCCTCCTTGCACACTCTGGGGACCATCGAGAGCATCTGCAAAGCTTTAAACCCAAACCAGCCCCGGGAGCCTTCTTCAAACCAACCCCTGGGGTAGCTCACCGCGTAAACGCAAGCCAACCAAAAAAACGATCAGCTTTCAGCACGTTGGTGTTTTAAGACCGGTCGGTGTTCGTGGTGCGATCCGCGTAACCACCGCTCTGAAAGAGGAGAGGAGCCTTCCCGGGCAGGGAGCTGACGGGAATGGAGAAGGAACCGCTCTGCAAAGGAGGCCGAGGAGGGTCGCACACCTGGGCAAATGGAGAGGCGGCTGCACTGGGCTATGTTCTGCGGTGCATATTCTCAACGACAAACTGACAGTCTTAAATAGTAACAGCAATCGTCCATGCAGAACCATAGCCCCAGGGAGGGCTGCTCGAAGGACTGATTGTCCCCTTGTCCCCAGCAGCTCCCAGACTGTTCTGTGATTGTGAGGTGCCAAAGCAAAAAAGGAACCGAATCCACTGCCATCCGACAATTCCGACCCCTCACGACCCCATAGGGCGGGGTAGAGCGGCCCCTTGAGGCTGTAACTCTACTGCATAGCCTGCGGAGCACGTTAGTGGTTTCGAATTGCTGACCTTACAGTTAGCAGCCCAACGGGTCACCACTGTGCCACCAGGGCTCCTGTTGGGTGCCGTGGAATTGATTTTCCACTCACAGCGACCTCTTGTGACAGAATGGAACTGCCCCATAGGGTTTTCTAGGCTGTCACCTTTATGGGGCCGCGTCATGGGGGTCTTTCTCTCACAGAGCTCCTGGGAGAGCTGAGCCCTTAACGGTTGCACTCACGACTACAAATAAATTCACTGCCATCCAGTCGATGCCGACTCATAGCCACCCCTTAGGGCAGGGTAGGACTTCCCCCTGTGAGTTTCTGAGACTGTAACTCTTTGAGGGAGTAGAAAGCCCCATCTTTCTCCCCATGAGCAGCTGGTGGTTTCGAACTGCAGACTTTATGGATCACAACCCAAAGAGTAACCACTACACACAGGACCCAATTCCCAGACTAAAGTGCAAGTGCGGGGTGTGTGTGTGTGTGTGTGTGTGTGTGTGTGTGTGTGTGTGTGTGTGTGTAAAATACAAGCAGACAATAATCCTAAACATAGCAAGGGCTGCAGTGAGGGGTGTGGGGGGTTGCCCTGAGGGGGCACAGGAAGCTTGCCCAGTGCCCTGGGCTTGGCCAAAGCCCATGGTAGGGAGGTTTGTGAACCAGGATCCCTGACCCCCGAGCAGTGGTTCTCCAGTCTGGTTGCAAGTCAGAGACACCCTCGGAAACTTCACAAATCCTGGAGTCCCCGCTGTGGCGGGCCAGGTGTTCCAGGTTCTGGGGTGGCTCTGCCCTTGGTGGGCCCCTCTGAGTGCTTCTCCAATTCTTCTGGGGTTGAGCACTTCCCAGCGCTGCCAACAGATTCGGTGATCCTTCCCAGCTGTAGAGTGTGGTGAGTTTGTCTGGGAGGGGGTGGTGCCCTTGAGATCACACCTGCAGACAGCCCTGCTGGGTCCTCCCGCCCCGGGAAAATTAACCACCACAGTTTACTGGGAGCTTGCTATGTAGAGGCTGGACCCTACCTAATCCAAGCACAGGGATGCAGTTACCATAGCTCAGCAATCCTCGGAGATAAGTGCTATGTTGGCTCCCATCTTATAGATAGAGAAACTGAGGCACAGAGATGTGGGGGTCCAGAGGGCCCGGGACCAGGGAGAGGTTCCCCAGGCAGTGACAGCGCCGCCTTCTCTCCCCAGCCGCGCCACGGATCATCAACATCTCGGTGCTGCCCGGCCCTGCACACGCCTTCCACGCGCTTTGCACGGCCGAGGGGGACCCGCCGCCCACCCTCGTCTGGTCTGGACCGGCCCTGGACAACAGCTCTGTCGCCCTCCCGGGCCCGGCCCACGGCCACCAGGTGACAGCCGAGCTGCCTGCGCTGACCCACGACGGCCGCTACACGTGCACGGCCACCAACAACCTGGGCCACTCAGAGGCCAGCGTCTACCTGTTCCGTTTCCACGCCTCCTCCGGCGCCTCGCCTCTGACCCTGCCGTTCTGCGCTCTTGGCCTCAAGGCGCTGCTGCTGCTGGGCGTCCTCGCCGCCCGTGCGGTCCACCGCCGCGCAGGTGGGTGCAATCTGAGCCGGAGGGTCAGGGAGGGAAACTCACAGGGCAGACTACCAGGCTAAACACGTCAAAACATTAATTGTGCCTGCATATCACTCCCTGCCTGCTCCCAGCATCCAGCACTGGACTGGGGACCTGCAGTGAGCTCTCTTTGCAGTAAAGATGCCGAGGCCACAAAAGAGTGGATAGCAGGCCTCTTGTCTATGGCCACAGGGCCAGAGCCTGTTGTGAGTAGGGGTACAGCCTCCAGGAACTGTTGTGTGCTTCATTGGGGGGGAAACAGGGGTGACTAGGGGTCAGGAGGAAAGTCGTGTTACCCAAGAAGTAAAACCAAACTCACTGCCATCGAGTTGAGCTACAGGGTGAGCTAAAGTACAATCGATAGGTAAGCAGGAGGTTGGAAAATAGGGCGAATGGCATTCCCAGGGTCCCATGCAAAGCGGTGCAGAATGGCCAGCAGGGTGTCTGAGAGCTGCAGTTCATCCCACCCTGCTGAAGCTGCTCTGCCTGGGGCCTGGGCTCTGTGCCCAGAGAGGGTGAAACCCAACAGGTGTCAACACTGCCTGGAGCGTCTATACCTGCTCTTGCCAGTTCTGCAAACTGGCCAGATGATTCCTGCTTCCAGGGCTTCTCTTGGGCCGTTCTCCCCTCACAAGCTCCTGAGCAGCTGTAGGATGCGGCTTGAGGAGTATTTGTTTTCCCCTATAGGCAGCTGGAGGGGGAGGGGGGAGGGGGGCCAGGTGGCTGGATGCTCACACCTCCTTTCTCTGTCTCTTGCACAGAGCACCCATCCACCCAGGACACTCGGCCACGGTAAGTGAGTGACTGACCCCATCTCCCACCACCCCAGTGCCCACTAGAGGAGAGGGCTGTGGACATTTAAGGTTGAGAAGCCTATGAAGCAGCTGGAGCTCAGGTGGGAGGTCCAAGGCTTGGAGCTGGTTTGGGAAGCCACAGATGAAGCCCCTCGGGGAACAGGTGATGGGGGTGGGGGTGGTAGAGGTTGTATGGGAGGGAACGCTGTGGACAGTGGTGGCTGCTTCCTTCCTTATTGCTTGGATTCCTCCAGGTCCTGCCTCCAACTCCCGGTCAGTCTCCAAGCCCTGTGGGTGCTAGGCCCACTGTCTCAGCTCTTCTCTCTGGTCCATTGCTGCGATGGGGTTGGGCAGGCAGGGACCTCCCTGTAGTGCAGTGGTTCTCAACCTTCCTAATGCCGTGACCCTTTAAGACAGTTCCTCATGTTGTGGTGACCCCCCCCACCATAAAATAATTTCGTTGCTACTTAATAATGTCATTTTGCTACTGTTATGAATCGGGCGACCCCTGTGAAAGGGTCATTTGACTCCCAAAGGGGTCGCGACCCACAGGTTGAGAACCACTGCTCTACTGTGAGATGGTCAGTCGACTTCCTCCTGTCTGCAGGGCACCGGCTCAGGAGTCCAACTATGAAAATTTGAACCAGATGAGTCCTCGGAGCCCACCGGCACCCATGTGTTCCCCATGTTCACCATGATGAGCCTCCAGAGCCCACCACAGCCACAAGGCCAAGGGAGGTGTGGCTGGTTGTCCTGAGGGCCCAGGCACCTGGCAGCCCCTCAGGGAGTCAGGAACCATCCACAGAAGCTCAACTGGTTTCCTGCATGCTCATCACACTTCCAGAGCCCCCATGATAATATGACAATGGGTCCAGAGTTGTGAAAGGGGGTTGTGCACACACTCAAGCCCCAGGGTGCAACCTCCTGAGCAGCTGCCCTGCCCTTCTGCCCTAGAATCCCTTAGTAACCTCTTGGGAACTGAGTCATGGCGTCAGGAGGGCAAGGCTATGCCCCAGCTCTGTGTGTGGATGGGGACACTCTCCTCACCTCTCTGGGTCTCAGTTCATCCACTGATGACCCCGGATAATAATACACTCCCGCCGGCTGATAGGAGAACGAAAATCTGAGGCTCTGAGGGATTTCAGGCAAGCCCTCCATGCTGAGCAAGGTGTTGGGGGTGGGGGTGGACCCCCGGCCAGCCTGGGCGACAGTGATTCGAGAGAGCAAGCCTGAGCTGAGGCGATACACACCATGCTCAGAAGAACGTCAACTTCTGGGATCGTGGTAAGGAAAGACCAGGAGCCCGGACCTCCTGTGGTCTCTGTGACTATCTCATTATACCCTATCTGCTGCCCCACACTGCCTTGAGCTCGGACCTATAGGAATAGGGGACATGTGTCCTCCCAAAGCTCCTGACCATCACAGCCCTCAGAGACCGGAAGCTGCGAGACCTGAGGAGATGGGGCCTGTAGGGCTGCAGGGACCAAGCAGCTGCAGCTCTGCCCTCTTCAATCTGAATCCTTCAGCTCAAAGGCGCAGGCAGGCTCACGCATTTGCTCTCCCCCTGCTGACTCGGAGGGGTGTTGCAGCCCATGTCTACAGTTGGGTGGGACTGAGCGGCTCCTGCCTTGCCTGGGGCTTAGGCGGAAGGGCCAGTGAGCTCCTCAAAGGACCACAGGGATGCAGGGACTGGAAACGCAACAGGGACAAACGTTCCTCTTTTGCAACTTTTCCAAGTTCGGGGATGGATGTTAACCAGAAGTAAACACGGCATCTTTTCTGGAGTTTCGCTGCTGAGAGGGCCCCAAGGTTGAGGGGTCTTCGTAAGTTATTGAGCAGGGCAAGGGGGTTCCAGCGCCCCCTCTCACCAGAGTCTGCTCTAGGACCAAATGGGTGATGGGGTTCTCCTCTCGTGGTTAATTGGGGTCTGTGCAGGAGCCTGTGTGGACTGTGGAGAGGCCAGAGGAGTCGGCCTGTGTAACTCCGTCAAGGGGAACTCTTTCAGACACCTCCCAGAAGATGCCTGGTCTTTGAGGCCGGCTTTACAGCTGAGAAGGACAGTGCTGGGCATTCCATCTTACATACCGCCTGGAGTGAGGCACTGGGCTGTGCTTGAGACGGCAGAAATGAATAAGGCTGAGGGTGAGGCACCTTGGTGGCACAATGGTTAAGTGCCTGGCAGCGCCATGATAGCTGTGGCAACCTGCTTCTGTAAAGACCACAGGTGATAAACCAGCAAGGGGACCCCTCTTCTCTGTCCCGTTTGGTCCCTGGAGTTGGAATTGCCTCTGGCACTGAGCAGAAACAACACTGGCCAGGGTGGGCCGGTTGTGCGGTGATAATAAACCAAGCCCCAAAACTCTACGGCTGGAAACACCAGAGGCTTCTTCCTTGCCAGTCAAACTGGCAGGGACTTTGCTCCTTATTGTGACTCAGGGGCCGCCACCGGCTCATGTGCTGGGCTACTGAGCCAGAGGGAAAGGGTCTCCCACTTGCAATCTTAGCTCGATCAGCCAATGTTAGCCGCATGGCCCACTCACCTGCAAGGGGCCCCGGGCAGTGCAAGCTAACATTACACCTGGAGGGGGAACAGCTGTGCTAACTTCCCAGTTAGATGATCTGCGTTCGCACATGGGCAAAGGGTGCACACCAGTAGGTGGGAAACCGCATGGGGGCCACAGCAGAGGTAAGCGGGGTGCTAAGGGAAGGGGGCCTGGGAAAGAGGTAACTGGAAGGCTTCCTGAAGAAAGGGGCTTGGAGGTGGTACAAGTGGGCCGTGCCAATGCGGACACAGCATCTGGGGGGTGAGAGAGGGCAGGGAGGGTTTCAGTAAAGGCCAGGAGGCTGGGCACAGATTGCTGTGGAAGCAGGGAAAGCTGCTGGAGCAGGAGGTGTGGTAGGGTGGGGGCCGAGCCCAAGCCGGGGCTCTGAGCAGGTGGTGCCACCCTCAACAGGGCCGAGGGGCAGGGGGAATCAGGGCCCTCAGGGCCCAGCAGGGTGCTGGGTCCACGTGTTGCAACTTTCACCATCTGACCACCTTCTCCAGACCCAGAATGCTCTGGGGCGAAAGTGCCCAGGGCATCTTAAGCTGCCAGAGAACTTGTTCGGAGATACGGTCTGGGGACCCCCCCCCCCGGGCCAACAGTTACAGGGTTCAAATACGCTCTACAGGTGATGTTTCCCCCAAACACATCCAAAAATGCTGAAAGAGGGCCTCACCGTCCCCAGCACCGAGATTCAACAGTTCGGAGCGTTTTCCCTAGGTGATGAGCCACTTGTGAGCTGCCCGGCACGGCGCTGCACCCCTTGATGTCCCAGAGTATCTCCTCCCAGCAGGGAGCGTCTCCATCACTACCACTTCTTAAGCAAGCTCACATCTGAGACACCCTCCCTGGGTTGGCCTGACCACGTTTCCAGAATCGTGGAGGGGGGCGTGGACTAAGCTGTCAGTCATATAGTCCTTCCTGCCTTTTCCCACTGTGTCGTGAGGCTTCTTGAAAGTAGGCCATTCCTCAAAGGAACGCCACCCAGACAGACTCCGCACACACAGAAGGCTTTATAGCAGCCCTGCAACAGTCTGCAGACGGTCTCCCCATGAAGCGGCTGCTCCTCAGAGAAGAGAGGGAGGTGACCAGGGGACTGGGTGGGGCCATCCGGGCTGACCGTGATGCCTCGGTGCTGGCCCTGGGAGGGGTCTGGGTAGAGCAGAGAGCTCCCTGTCTATGGGCACATCCAAAGCGGTGTCCATGACAAGCAAGGCCCTGAGCCGTAGCTAAGCTTAGCACAACGTCCTGGGGTCACGGAGTCGAGGAGGAAAATGACTTCGAAGATCGGATGTTTTCAAGAGTAGGCTTTCCAGTGTGGGCTAGGCCCTCCCTCCTCAGCACGGAGCTCCATAAGCAAGAACCCTCTTTCTGAAAGGGGCTTCTGAGGTTCCTGGAGGTGGGCAGTGACTGAGAGCAGCAGGAGGAAGGGAAGACCTTGCTCGGGTGGCCCCCAGACCCACTCAGGGTCCGTGACGAGTTCCCTGCCTCAAGGAGCTGACAAACTATATGGAAACACCAGATGCAGCTCTGCCATCGGTCGCATGGATGCTGACTCACAGCGACCTTACCGGACAGAGTAGAACGGCCCCTCTGGGTTTCCCAGACTGGGACTCTACAGTAGAAAGTCTTTCTCCCATGTGGGGCTGGTGGTTCTGAACTCCTGACCTATACCACCAGGCCACCCTCAGGAGGGCTGGTATAAGCCACTCATGAGGCTTTATTGGAATATGACGTCCAGGCCAGAAATTGCCTTGGTTCACGCTGATTAACAGACCCTGAACCAGCCGGTGGGTCTGTTTCCTAAAAGAATTGAGGAAGACCTTGCGGGAAGGGGGCCAAGTTCAGAAGAGCAGCTTTGTTTGGGGAGGGGTAGGTCTTAGCTCCGCCATCCTAAAAGTCTTCCTAATGTTCGAGGTGCCCTGCGGTGGTGTGGGCCACTTCCTGGGGGGCATTTTGCCTTCAGGGAGTGTCCCAGCAAGGTGGCTACTGATCTGGTGAGTCTAGGTTACCCTCGTTCCTAGACTGGCCAGAGCAGGGACAACCTGAGCTAAAAGGCACTTTCCCACCTGTTCTACCTGGACACCTAAAAAGTTCCATCCATGAGAAATGTCACTTTGGTGTTCATCCAAAATTGAATGTGCAAGAACTCCCCCAGGCCCACCTCTATCTATCAGCCTTGGTCGTGGTGTTGCCAGCATTCAGTGTGTGTCTTAGAAATGTCAGTACCAACTAACAGCGCAGAGGAACTAACTCCCTGGCATTCCTGCACTGAAAGTAGAGTGCCAGAACCCACCACGACCTCCTTGGCAGCTTAGGCTCCCCTCCCCTGGCCACTCGGCCCTCGGCACCTCAGGAGCTCAGCCAGTGGGTGCTTGGATACAGCCTTCAGGGCCGCCCCCTGCCAAGGGCACGGCTGTTACAGGCCTGAGCAGGGCTCCCGTCCTTGCCAAATCTTACACCCAGACATTTCAGATTCTCTCTGGAACTGGAGGCCTGGCCCACGGTGTGACACAGCACCTCAGAACACAGACTCGGCCCATTCACCAGCCTCCACATTTCCCATTTTTTCTCAGTGTGATTTCTGGAGGGGAACGAGTCCTGCCAGCCACTCCACCAAAGACGAGACGGGGCTGTCCATCAAAGTAGAGCCAGGTTTATTTGCAGGATTGTACTTAACCAATTCCCATTCCTTCCTGTCTCACCATGATGCTAAAAAACGTGCAGGCATGAAATGCTGGCCAACCAGGCTGGTGTGACTATTGCAGTGTGGTGACCAAGATCAAGTTGTGGTGTTCAACGTCACCCTTGTACGTGGGGGAAGGGCAGGAGTTGGATACACTGAGAGATTTGTCTCCATGTAGTGATGCTGAACCACGAGAAGAAATAGTCTTAATTCTTAGCGCTCAACGAGAGAGTGTGTCTATGCATTCAAGAACAACATTAAAACCATCAACAACGTTCCTTAGCAATTGCTCCCTTCCAGAACAAGGGGACAGTAGCTCAAATAATTTTAAGTTGTTGTCATCAGAAATCAGTGACCCGTCCAGCGTGAGGGAAAGAAACACAACTCCAAAGACAGGTGCTGCAGAATCAATGGGGCTCAGCCAACTGTCAAGGGCAGGGCCCGTCACCACGGCCCAGAATATCAGCTCAGTGCCCAGCTAAATACACGTGCTCATGGACGAGCAAAGTGCACATTTTTTATAGACAAACAAAGTCACGGACATGTCCCAACATGACGTTCACCATGTTTGCTTAATGAAACAGTTATCCGGACAGATGAGTTGGAAAGTTGACTCAAAACAACGTTAAAGGGCAGGTGCAAAGTGCCCATTGCTCAGCCGATCCTGAACTTGATGGGTGAGACCAGTCCTCAGTAGCAACTGATGAAAACCAAGGGCTGGGGTTGGACTAGACACCAGGTGAGCTGGGCTCGGGCATCGGAACAACTGTGAGGATGGCGCGGGGCTGGGCAGCACAGGTCGCTGTGGATGGGAACCGACTCGATGGACCTAACACCACTTGGTGAACGTGCCAACCATCAGGCACAGCTACCAAAGAGCTGATGTCACCCAAGTGTCCAGTGGACGGAACCACACTGCTCTGGGCCACAGGTAGGGGGACGCGCCACCCTCAGGACAGAGAATAGGCTGAGGTGCCCAACCCACTCCTGGTCCTGTCAGCCCCATGCACAGCCCTCATAGAATGTCACAGGGCAGCTCTGGAACCCTTTCAAAAACGTCACCCTCTTCCTACAGCCATCCGGTCGATTCCTCCTCAGAACAACCCTGCAAGGCAGAGGCCGCCCCAGGGTTTCCATAAATCTATCAGAACAAAAAGCGTCAGCAGTCTCGTTCCAAGTAGCTGCTGGGTCTGAACCTCTGACCTTGTGTTTAACAGCCCAAAGCTTAACCCATTATACCACCAGGGCCCCTGAAAGCCTCCTCCACAGCTCACTGCCACTGAATCGATTCTGGCTCACAGCTGCCCTGTAGGACAGATAGGGCTGTCCCCAAATGTCCCAGGAGCAGAAAGCCTCATGGCCCTTGGTGCAGCAGGTGATTTTTGAATTGCTGCTCTTGTGGGTACAGTCCTACTGGGAACCTACTAGACCCCAGGGCGTTATTAGAAGGAGTCAAAGCACTGGGACCCTTACGTAACAGACTGTGGGCCAGCAGTATCCAGAGGTGGCAAGATCTGAAAACATGAGGCCACAGCCCCAGCGTGGAGGGCTCCCCACGGTCCGTGGTCCATGGGCAAGATTACCGGAGGCCAGCTTCAGCTCAAGCGCATCAGCACGTGGCCTTCCAGTGGCTGTGTGCACTCGCCCACAACCTGGGGCAGGGCCGCCACAAGCCCCTGGAAGGGTTGGGGACAAACTCCATGTGTGTGACACCCCTTCAGAAAAGGCACCTTGGATTCTACGGCATTTGTTTCATAGTCCAATAGAAATTCTTCATTTTAGGACGCGAACCCGTGACAGTTGTGTCACCTTCGCTCAAAGGGGCGGCGGCCTGGGTGCTCTGGCACTGATGTGGGACAGACGGGGAGGATGGGACTGGCTAGAGGGAGGCTGGACCAGCCTGTGCGGTTCATTTCTCTGGGCTGAGAGGCTGGGGGAGGGCTGTTGATGGGCTCCTGGTGGGAGGTCCGAGTGTGGCAGGGGATTGGGGAACATGTCTGGGTGGGTCCATCTGGTTCTGCAGACATGCCCACCATGCCCTGTGCCCCCCAGCTCTGAGCCTTTCACAGACCCTGGAGTTAGGAGGAGCAGTGAGATGGGGTGTCCAGGCTGATCCAGACCCATCCTTGGTGTACCCACCCGCTGATCAGCCCTCTGAGCCGGGCCCACTGTGACGCCATCTGCAATGTGCACAAGCTCACCGTGATTCAATACTGCGGGGGGAGGGACACAGATGCCTGCCCAACATGCCCGCTTGGGCTGCTTATGCCAAGCAACAAAGGCTCGTTGTCCCTGACGCTACGTGTGGCCAAGTTCTGAACCACCTCAGACCCTAGCGGGGTCTTTCAGGGACCCAGGTAAGTGGCCCGTGCTAAGCACGAGGGGACTCCTCTGAATGTCTGTCTCCATAGTAACAAGTCCATTAGATGAAGTCAGGCACTAAGCTTCCATGTTGACTTCACCAAGTGACATACTTTACTCAGAGTGTGAGATCCCCACAGGTCACTTCCTCTTACCTGCGACAACGGAAGATGGTGGTTTTATTTTTTAATAGTTTCTACATACCAAACACGTTATAAATCTTACGAGCTTTCAAATTTAACAGGTAGCGAGCGTTGTCTTTAAGATGGACATACTGTCGCTCAATCCCATCACAGTCTTGAAAATCAGTAATTGCATCTTCCTCAGAAAACACAGCACTTGAGACATACACACATACAATCTGAAAACGGAGGATCATGGCGTGAGGCAGACAGACAAGACGTGCACGCGCACACGGCAAAGCTCCGAGGCCCACCCTGGGGGTCAGCCACCCTGGGGGCGTGAGCAGGGCCGATCTCAGACGTAGCAGCACTCCTTGAAGGCTGTTTGGAGAGAACCCTAGGGACTCCGGTTAGACATTCTTTGGGGGGTGGTCTTAGGCTAGTCCATGAACTGAGGGGCGATGACACAAGCGGGGCGCGCACATCAATTCCGAGCCATGGTGGCAGAGGTCAAATTGTTCCTTCCCGGGGCAGACACTGGGAGCAAGAAGATGCCCACCGAACAAGAGTCAGCCTGGCGGGCAAGGCTCCTGGAAAAGCCGCCTGCGGGCGCGGGTTTCCACAGGGCCGCTCGCTCCCGGGAGTTTGGCCAGGAGGGGGGAGGGGGGTTAGGACAGGACAGGCAGAGACACGCGCCACACCACGGTATAGGGAGTGGGGGCGGGGTGGGAAGGACGGAGGCGTGGCTGAGGGCAGGTCTAAGAAGAGTGAAGGCCCTGCCCACATGCCCTACCTTGTACAGGACACACGTGGCAGGCTTCAGGAAATGGGTGGCTCCCGCCCTGTGAGCACAAGCACACACAGCCTGGAGGGATGGAGCTGCCCCAGTGCCACAGCTCACTACACCACGCACAAAGAGGCCCATTCTGGACACACTGCAAGTGCCAACCTTTTATTGTCCACCGTTCTCGGTGGTGGAAGTGGGCCTTGCCACCATGCATGTGGCCCCCGGCTGACTCGGCCCTCAGGGCTTGCCTCTGAGGGGGGAGCGCAACTCCTTCCCGCTACTGTAGAGCCCCCGCTCCGGAGAAACGTGGGTAGGTTTTCAAAGATGTCTGTTTGACGCTGGAGGTACACAATGAGGTTCCAGGGTGATGCTTTGACATGGACTCCCACAGCATCAGAGCTAACCCAGGAGTGTTCACATTTCAACAAAAACAGACACCCTACCCTAGGGCTTGTGAGATGGCCGGGCAGCCCACTATGGCCGAGTGTCGCTGTCCCAGCTGGGAACTTACAACGTTGCTCCTAGTGGAAGACCTAAAAACAAAGACGTTCCAGGGAGGCCTCAAGGGCCCATTGCACATGCACGCACACATACACACACACATACACGCACGCACACTGGAGTTCTCCCGAGCACACAGCCCCTCGGAGGCTCCCCCAGCCCTGCAGCGGGCATGCGCCAAGTCCCCTGTGCCACAGCAATGGAAGTGTAAACTGGAAGAGCAGCGGGTGGTCCAGGGGCCTGGGTGGACTACCGAATGTTGTCCAAATAATGCACTTCCGGGTAAAGGCAGTTCACAAGGAGAGCCAGGAGGCTTTTCCCATCCTTGAGGCAATGGCCAGGGTGCTTTATAAACTGGGCGGCCTGAGAGATCGGATCCTGGTATTCCACATACTGCTTACTCGATGGCATGGCCTCGAGGGCGCTCAGAGCCTGGAAGACACGTAAGGTAAACAAGAGGGTTAACCAGGTGCCCCATGAGGCATGCAGAACCTGGTGGCTGCAGGGACAGCATGCCTCCTGAGTCTGGCGGGGAGACCAGAGAACTGGACCGGGCGTGCACGAGGCTAGGCTGGGTTAGCCACCATCAGTACACCAGCAACCCAGATTTCTCACAGCTTCCGCATCCAGCCGCTTCCCAAGCCTTCCCCACAGCCCGTGGTCAGCCTGCTTCCTCTCCATTCCTCACCCACTACGCGCGCTCCTGACGGCATATATATTAACAGATGGACTTTGCTTGCTTCGGGAAACAAGGAGGAAGAATGAACTGACAGAAATACATTAATGGGAACCCTGGTGGCCCAGCAGTTACATATTGGGCTGCAATCCCCAAGGTCAGCAGTTTGAAACCAACAGTCACTCTGAAAGAAAGAGGCGGCTTTCTATTTCCGTGAACAGTTAGGGTCTCCAAAATCCACAGGGACAGCTCTACCCTATCCTACAGGGTCACTATGAGTCGGCATCAGCATGATGGCAGTGGGTTTGGGTTTGGGGTTAGACAGAAGCTCAAGGGCTGAAAATCCACACAGAAGGATTTTGAAAGGAAGCTAGGGTGTGTGAGCAAGTTCAATCTCCAACAGGAGCTAACGGGGACAGTCTCCCACCCCTGCTCCAAGCTTGATTTGTTGGCCTCTCCTGCCTCTCTTGTCTTCTAAAGTCTAGCCCCCAATGGCCTGCTTTGGTGTGTGCCTACGGGAAAGCACTGTAGACAGAGACACTATTTTACAAAGTCTGCCTTGACGACAGTGTGGCAGGTACACGTGAGCCAACCTGGTAGATGAGAAGGAACGGGGCACAGAGCTGCACCACCTGGTGGCCACAGGAGGGTCACAGGTGCTGTCAGCCCTGTGACATCTCAAACTTATCAGGAAACGCTTCTCATCTGCCCTTGGAAGACCACCACTTACGGCCCACTGGGGAGGTTCTACATATGACATTACAGCAAAAACAAAACAAGCCCCACTGTCATCGAGTCGATTAGGACTCACTGTATGGCTTCTGAGACTATAGATCTTCTTGGGAGCAGACAGCCTCATCTTTCTCCCTCAGAGTGGCTGATGGGTTTGAACCCCCAACCCTAAGGTCAACAGTCCAATGCGTAATCCATAGTCCCACTAGGGCTCCTTATAGAAGACAATGGGGGTGGTGTACATAAAGATACACACCAGCCATCTTGCCTGTCAGTCTTAAATATCAGTATTCTGTAAACCCAGACCCCTGCAGACTATACTGTTTGATCCCTGCCCTTAAGGACCAAGACCCCACACAACAGAGCCTGAGAAGGGCAATGCTGTGCTGTCGGTGCAAAAGGCAGGGCAAACACCACTTCTCCACCTTGGTCTCTGGTGGAAGGAAAACCACTGGCCCTTAGCACAAGGTTGGCTTTACTGACCTGCTGGGCTCTCAGTGTCAGATGCAATTCAGGGCTCGGCTTCAGGCGGATGTGGTCCTCAGTGGGCACCTGCACCAAGAGGAAGGTGGACATGCTCCGGGCGACCACTCGGAACCTTGCGTGCAGTGGGGACACAGAAGTCATGATTAGCCAGCATTTCCTATCACATCTCGTATTCAAAACAACATAAGCATGTTTCTAGGGCTTCTGTTAGCTTCCTCAGGAAAACCTTAAGGACCTTCAAGAAGAAACTTTATCTAAACCTTCGCTTAATTCACAATCAAGATTTTTTGTTTTTTTTTTTATAAAAGGAAATTTATCTCCCTCTCAATGTATACCTAATTCAGATTCAAGAATTAAAGAGCCCAGTTCATCCAAAGACACACAAACCCAATTTAAGTGAAATAAAAATCACATTAAAAACAAAAACCACCATAGCGACCCTTCCGGGCAGAGCAGGCTGCTCCACTGGGTTTCTGAGACTACAATCCGTATGGGAGGACACAGCCTGATCTCTGCAGGGTGGCTGGTGGGTTTGAATTGCTGACCTTGGGGTGAATAGCCCAAAGCATAACCCACTACACCAAGAGCTCCATGTAGCCCTGCTACATTCAACCGTGAACAAAGTACCTCGATGCTCACGGGTGGATTGGGTGGTTCTCAGAGCTGCCAGCAATATGATGTCCTATTCCACAACACCTAAATGTTCTGAGCGCTGCCAACACCTAAATAGTCTGAGCGCTCTTCTAATGCTCAAAAGAAGCCCGTGGAATCCCAAAGAGCTTCCAAAAGTCCATGGAAAAATCCTGTAATCTTTTAATTCCATATCGCCACAAACTTTTTTAAAGACCCCTGTACATACATAGTATGAACACAATGGGAGACGAACAGGTAATGCTTTCATCCTTTGGGATTTTTTTTTAACCACCAAAACCTAGACTCCTTTCTTAAGACTTCTCCTTTCTACTAGCTGATCTTAATGCACCAGGAGACTAAGCCAAGTGGGCGTTCTTAGTCCCTCGGGATCAGCCTGCCCTGAGCGCAAAGCTTGCTGGCCATGAGGCAGCTCACAGGTGTAAAGGACCTGGTTCGGCAGCAGTGGCCAGGGGTCAAAAAGAAATCAGCCGTTGGAGGGGTAACAAAAGAAAACTGAGAGACAGAGGAGAAACAAAGCAAAAGGAAAGAAAAACATTTGAATCTGAAAACAACGCACTTAAGACAGAAAGATGGGATTGGGCTCTGGTAGTTTCTCTTCTGAAGCTGTGTCAGAGACGTTGCCTCTAAATCAAAAACCCTGTTCAAGTCTCGAGACCCCTCACTGGGTGCAGAACCGGATGCTCCTTGGGTGCCAGCAACACTGGGCTCCCTTACCTGTTGGACAAGGGTGACCTCCGGCCCAGCCCGATTGCCCCCAGAATCCCAGAGCTGAGCCTCTCCTCCGCCACCAGGCTCAGTCTGCTCTGAAGCATGAGCAGAATCCGAATGACGGCTTCCGTCAGGACGGCGTCGTTCTGCTCCGCCTGGCCCAGGGACAGCTGCAGCGCTTGGTGCCACCACAGACACAGCTTGGCCTCTTCCTGCACAGAGCTGGGGGTGGCACAGGGGGAGGGAGTCAGAAACGGAGCTTTCCGCCTCATTGCACTGCACGTGCAGGCGTGAGTTCACATACATGGGATGTGTAGGACGTCGAGGGTAACCACGCTGATAGAGAGCCACCGGGCAACAGTGGCTACCGTTTACTGACCACGCACTCTGATGGACACTGCACAGCTCTGTGCTTTCACACGTTCCCTAGAACGACCCTCAGTGGCAGGCATGGTCATCCCCACTTGATTGGCAAGGGAAACTGATGCTGTGGGAAATAACGCCGCTCAGAAAGTTAGTCCCCCAAAGGCAGGCTCTCTCTGCAGCGTGCAGTGCTTCGTGGCCTTGTTAATGGTCTTACGCACCACACAGCGCTGTGTACTTAAAGATGCGCTTCCGTGTGAAACCCCAAGCTCAGCAGACACAGTGAGCTGGGTTCCACGGCAGGGGCCGCCGTACCTCGGATATACCTGCTCCAACCACTTGCTTAAGATGAGCAGCACTTTCATGTCATTCCTTAGCGTCTGTTCACTGTTCAAACACTGAAGCAGGTAGACATAAAGGGTCAAGTAGCTGCCCAGGGCCAGGCACTCCTGCAGAAATTCTTCCATGGTGAGCTCAGGAACTTGAAGGGATACCAGGATGGGGCCCCAACCTAAATTAGGATTGAGGGAGTCTAAGGAAAAAAAGAAGAAAGATTGACAAACAAGCATGCCTAGCACTGGCTGAACCCCTCAGAAGACAGCTGCTGAGGGAGCGTGGGGCACAAGCCTGCCTAGTCCACCTCTCTGTGGCAGAGGACAAGATAGCCTGGGGGGTGGGTTCACCAGAGCACAGTGGGAGACAGTGGTCTACAAAACAGACCCTGGGTAACATCATGAACCACTTCGTTCAGTCCTTCTCGTGGTCAAGAAAATGTTTCTCATTCGGGTCCTACGGGCCACAAGAGGGGAGTGTGTCTCGGGCTGAGACTAGCCGGCCCTCACTGCTCAGGGTTTGTGCCCGGCTAGCCGTCCTTGGGGTGCAGGCATCAGAACTCAGCGGTCACCCTGCTAATCACCTCCTGTTCCACATGGCAAGCATGAGCGTCTCCGTGCCAGCCCCTGGCCTCGGCGTTCTGCTATCCAGGGCCACCTGTCAGTTGGACGACTCCTGCTTTCCCGATGGATGTTACAACCACTCTCCCCGTGGTAAGTGTTTGCATGTTCAACGCTCACTCGGACTCATATCCCAACACAAACACCTGAACGTGTTTCAGAATTGTTAAGAGGCACGGCTTTTAGTAGCTTTACAAAGGGACTTGGGGCAGGGCTGCAGCTCCCCAGGCTTCTGAAGCAGGCCAGGTCTCTGACAGACGCTGAGAATTCAAAGGTGGGGGTTAAAAAAAAGATCAAGGGAAGGGTGAGGGCGGGGTGACCTCCTCCAAGAATTACAAAGGGGTGACAAGGAGCAATAAAAGGACTTCTGTGAAAACTCACTTGAAATGTGACAAAAGCCAGGGAAAACTAGTGAGAGCTGTTACGTACATGGACTGTGACTTAACCCAATTCACCTGTAACAATGGAAGGTCGTCCTGACCCTTCACAGCCACAGCAACAACCCGTTGGGGGTTGCACCCACAGTCCTGGTCCCTAGGTTCTCGTCCCAAATAAGACCTTTCTGAACAAGCAGACGTACTCCGAACCATCAGCCACATTACGGAGCCATTGCTCCTAGGGAAGGTTCTAGAAGGGGATGGCGAGGACAGCTCTAATGGGGGAGCAGGCGCTAAGCCTTCACCTACCTTCTGTGAAGTAGGCCGTGATGCAGGCTTCGGTCGTCTCCGCCATGTGGCGGACGGAAGCCAGGCTCTGGCAGGCTGCTGTCAGGAGAGGCAGCACCCCCAGCCCGTGCACTTTGTGGCTGACCCAGGTCCGGACGCTGCCGCGGAGGAACTCTGCGGTCGGAAGGGTCGAGTTGTTCAACATCGTCAGGACTTCTACAAAGAGGCTGCTGAGGGCCAGGTGGCGGGTCTGGCTGTCCATGTCTGTGGGGCACGCACACACACTGGATGAGGCTGCTGGAAGGTGAGTGATGCACACGTGATGGAGAGAACGGTGCTTCCGTCCATCAGCCCCGTGGGGTTCACAGTTCTAGTCGGGGATTCTAGGGGAGGAGCCCTGGTGGTGTAGTGGGTTATGCTAACCCAAGGTCAGCGGTTTGAGACGACCAGGCCCTCTGAGGGAGAAAGATGAGGCTTCCTATTCCTGTAAAGAGTTAGCCTCAAAAACTACTGGGGCAGATCTTCCCTGTCTTATAGGATCTCTTGAGTCGGGATCAGCCCCAGTGGCAGTGAGCAGATCGGCCATGGCACGGAATACCTTGTGCGAGGGGCAAGACTAGGGACTTCCGCCAGGTCCTTGGGCCCGCAGTGCGGTGGAGCGTTGGCTATCAGACATCCCACAGGCTGGTGTGAAGGCCTGACGCAGAAACAGCATCATTCCCCTCTATTGTCCAGCCTGCACTCAAGAACTCCCTCTGGTCCACAGATCTCCAGGGCTATTTGCTGAGCAAATTAGAAAGTCACCCTGTAAGTGATTCCCCCGATGCCACCCACGCTGCCGCTCCCCTGGCGTGACCTGCGTGGCACGGGACTGCGCAGATGCAGGGGAACCTTGCTAGGTTCTGCACAGCAGCTCTTTGTTCTTTGCTGTGTGGTTTCGAGGAAAGCGGCTGAGCAGAAGCACCCGCAGGACAAACGGGCCTTACTGGGAAGTCCAGGTGGAAATGAGAAAAAGGAGCGGAAGGCCAGACAAAAGACTCCTTTACATCACAGGGAAGTGAAATGCAAATGGCCGCAGAGGTTGAGCCCTTCCGAAGCGGAAAGCCGGCCTCAGTTCAGGGTGCGGGCTAACTGCCCACTCGCCATGGTGCTCACCAGTGGACCGCGCTGTCGCTCTCTTCTCCGGGGACAGGAAATCTGACTTCAGCCGTCCGCTCCGTGGGAACGCTCAGAAGTCTGACCCAACATACTCAGCAAACAAATTTACCTGTTTGCACAGCAGCAAGGGCCCTGGCGGTTCAAACCCACCAGCTGCCCCCAGGAGAAAGAGGAGGCTGTCAGCTCCTCCTGGAAAGATGTACAGGCTCAGAAGCCCAACCTAGGATGGCTGTGAGTCAGAACCAACTCAGTGGCAGTGGGTTTGGTTTTTGGGTTTCCGAGTAATCAAGCAAGGACTGAAAAAAAAAAAGGCTGAGATAAGAGGTCTATATGTGTATGCAAATGTGCTTTGACATGTATTTCTATGAGTGTGAATGTTCTTGGTAATAAAAAGGCCTTATCTCTGAATTTGGTTAAGTGACAGCTTTTAATCCTTTAATTATGATTCAGAGTAGCAATCAATTACCACAATGAATCTCTTCACTGATTCCAGTGTCTTCCCTTCCCCCAACCGGCTCTAAACACCAGATGCCATCCTAAGGCTTTTCCGTTACAGTCTTTCTACAGCGACCTTCTTCCCTTTGCCTGGCAACATTTGTCAACATTCACTGTCCCAATCACGTCTGCCCGACTCAAGAGTGGCTTCCCCAGCAATGCTGGCTGTCCTTCCTTCCTCTTTAAATATTTAGTCAGTGAGTGTTGTTGGCTTGTCAGGCAGTTGCTACGATCTAGTTTAATCCTTTGGAGATATGTACGAATATGATCTCGTTTTGCAGATCAAGTTATTTACAGTGTCCACAATCACCTAACTGGTAAGTGGTGAAATCAAGACCTGCATTTTAACTACTTTATCATCTGCCTTCTGTAATAAATCTATATTCCAGAACTGCTTTATAAAACTTAACAATTTTTTTACTCACCAATTCTATCCAACTCAATCCACACACCAGGGTGGCATCGGTACGCATGCCTAAATTCTCTAGCTGCCCATTTCCAGGTGGTAATGGAACAAACATAGCAAGGCTGTGAAACCCATCTGTGGGTGGCAAATCTTCCCTGCTATCGGGTATTTTTCTAACTCTGTAACAAGGTCCCTCTACTGCTGGAAATTCAAACAAAAGGAGTCTCAGTAGCACAGCGGTTAAGTGCAAGTCTCCTAACTAAAAGGCCAGGGGTTCAAACACACCAGTGTTCCTATCAGCGCCAAGAAAGCACTTGGGGTCACCATCGTCAAAACCGATTCAATGACACCTAACAACAACTGAAGGGACGGCTGTTTCCGGTCTGGGCCCCCTCAATACCCTTGTGAACATCCCTGCTCGTTCCCCAGGGCTCATGTGCACCTAATTCTTTTGGGTCACCGCACTTACAAATTTCAGTTGATGCTCATGTTTTAAAGAGAGCTGTAACTGTCTGCCCATGTGCCAACAGGAATACATGGATATACATCCTTTGCAACACTTGCTATTTACAGTATTTTCTTGATTTTTGCCGTTCCTGGTAGGTAACGTTTCACTACGGTTTTAGTTTGTTTCCTTGGGCGTCACCGAGGTTCCCCACCTCTCCACGTTCATGGGTCTTCGGGGTATCCTCGTGGGTGACAATGCCTTAAACACAGCAGACATTCTGGATCGAGCCCTGCTCTCCCACTTACCAGGGGGGTTGAAGACAATGATATCATCTAGGAGCTTGGACATCTGCTGCTCGAGGGCTGGGAAGGTGATTTTCCCGTCCTGTTCCAGGCTACCGAGAAACTGGACCATCTGACGAGTGAAGGCGCGGCACTTGGGAACTGCATCCTGATGAACAGAACAGGAATCGTTCAGACGAACCCCAGCAGCGGTGTGAGCTGAGCCTCCCAGGGTCTGCTGTAGGAGTGCGTGTGATACAGGGACCGGTACACTCAGTGGGGAAAGGCGATGACAGACCAGGACTCCACCAAGAGCACTATCGCCCAGAGTCCTCCTGTCGAGGGATATGCAAACCCGAGGCAACACTTGGGCTGGGGCCCCTGCACCCCCAGATCCCAGCAAAGCACTCTTCCTCATGGCCACATTGATAATGGTGTGAATTCAACATCAGCTACTTGCTGGGAACCTTTCCACAAACGTATTTGTTAGCTGATTAATTGCTAACAACAACCCTCGGAAGAAGGCAGAGTATTATTTCCAACTCAGATGAGAATGGCCCAGGGACGTGCCGACAGTCGCCCAGGCAGTGGGCTGGGGACCAGGCTCGCTTGTCTTGCCCTGGTGACTCTGCTGCCATCCACGGCCACTAAACCCATGGCCCGCCCCAGCCCTCCTGGCTTTACACCACCCTTCAGCATGTGGCACTGCAGGCAAAGGCTTGCCGAGAGAGAGGATAAAGCTAAGACAGCCAAAGGCCGCCACAGCGGAAGTCCACCATCCACACATCCACCAACTTCCCCTGCCGCCACGCCATCGGGTCCCAGCCTGTCCCCAGCAGTAGTCAAGCTACAGGTGCTTGTGAAGAATGGCCACTGTCCCTGGAATGACGACTTACGAGATGCTTCTGGCCATCGGCTGGACTGGAAAGGCCTGCAGAAACTTTGAGGAGCTTCAGGACAGCCTGGGCGGCGGGTTCTTTGGCCAGGATGATGGACGGCGGGTAGTGGCTGCTGAAGTAGCCGATGGCGCTCTGGTAGGACACAGCATCCACGAGGTGCCACGAGAGCGAGCTCGTCTGTCCCAGGAGATTCAGCAGGGGCGACTCCTAGAAACCACGCACAGGTCCTGTGACTTCCAGGGGCCCCGCCGCCCAGCCGCCCATGGGCGTCTCTAATGAGTCCGCCCCGTTGAAAGTGTCAAGTGACGGTCGAGTCACATCAAGAGTTCCCCACCCCTCGGCTCGTGGGCCAGGGATGTGAAAACCCATGCCGTCATGCAGAGTGCACTGGTACGTGAACGACTGCAGAGTGGCTAGGTTAAAATTGAACACCTTTTCATTTTGTCTCCCTTTTGACCCATTTAAATTTTGTTCTAATTGTTAGTATTTTTGTTTTCTTTTCTATTGGTGTTTTATCCATTTTGCTTTGTTATTGTTGTCAGTTTTTTTAAATATGTTTTTCTGTACATGAAGTCCAGGATAGGTAAATCTATAGAAACAGTAACTGGATTAATGTTTTCTTGGGGTTCTGGCAGGAAAGGTTGGGGGGAAATGAAGAGCTAATGAGTAGACGAAAGAAGAAAATGTTCTACAATTGATTGTGGTAATGATTGTACAGCTTTTCTTGATATGCTTGAACTATTGAATTGTATCATATATGGATTATGTGCCCAAAAATCTGTTAGAAAAAGCAAAGACCTGGTGATATGCTTCTGAAGGGTCACACGTGTGAAAGGTCTATGGAATATACTTCTGTTTACAAATTCATTGATAAATGGCATGTGTTCACCAGAATAGTATTACACAGAATAGTCTCAATGTCATAAAAATGCCCTGTGCTTCACACAGTACCCTTGTCTCTTCTCACCCTAACAGTAGTGTAGGAACATTTTTTGCAGGCATCGAATGTTTTCCTACACCTTTAAAAATGATGATATAATTTTTTAAATTTTAAAAATGATGATATAAAAATAATAAAGATAAGCCAGTCCAGGTGCAGTATAGCACCGATGAAACATAAAAAAAAAAGCCAAAGCCACAGCCACAGCCAAACCCATTGCTATGCAGGCCATCTCAGCTCCCAGCATTCTGTGGGGCAGAATAGAGCCATCGGCACTGGAGTCTTTCCACAGGCAAACGGCCTCATCTTTCTTCTGTGAACGGCGGGGCAGGTTCAAACCACTGACCTACTGGTTAGTGGCCAGCTGTTTGCTCACTGCGCCACCAGGGCTCCTTAGGAATCTGAGTGAAATTAAACCCAAGTCTTGATCAGACACATGAAAAGTATGAGTGATCAGTAGCCAGAGCCCAATTTATTCAGGAACTCTCTGATCCAGGGGCTTCCTATAAAGTAACCTAACTCTGACAAAAGGCAAACATTGTTCTACCAGCCGTGAGTGAGTTAAGAACAAATCAGTGAACACGCCTCAGGAGGAACCAAACCTTATCTCAACCTTACAATCCACGGTAAGTTGAAGGGTTAACTCCCTTAACAAAGCAGTTCCTTTTCACTCAAGGGGACAAGAAACCTGTGGGAGCCACTGCCCAAGAGACAAGTAAAAGCCACACACTCGGGGGAACCTACAGAGTGACTCGGGCCCCAATGGGCTTGATGACGTGCACACGTTACGTGCCCACGCACTAACTCTGGGAGTGATGAGGGGTGCCGTAATGGACTTGGATGGTCTAACGCCATGCGGTCTGCATCATAATCTAGAACTAGCTTTAGCGCCATCCAAGAAAGCCAGGCATCTAGGCGAAAGCACCTCTCTTCAACTTGACCCCAATGCCACTGACACAGGTATTAGGGAACATCTGAAAAGCAGTAAGGCAAAAGGCGAGCATGTAGGGAGTGTGCCCACATCTGCAGAACGAGCTCTTCAAACGTACTGGCTGATCCACCAGCTGGTCTTCCTTTGCCAATAAGATCATCATGAAAAGGAGGCAGACGATCATGCTTCTGGTTGCCGGCAGGGGGCTGGGGTTCCAGGCATCGGCAAGCACACTGACCCAGTTGACTTCGCAGAGGACAGAGCCCAGAAATAAGAAACAGCTCTTGGGGCTTCCTCTTTCCACCTAAAAGGAAACCAATGACAATCAATGTTATGCTTCACGCACCCCCAACCTTGAGAATGTCTATCAGTCAGTGTTTCATAAAGTCAGGTTTCCACAAATAACGTGTATTTTTTCCAGATGGGGCAGGACGAAACTTGACATCTACTAGTGAGCAGTTCCCCAAGTTCGAGTGGGGACTGGCTGAAACAGGGCCTTCTGGGCCTAGAGGTTCTGATTTCCTGCATCTGGGGTGGAAACTCAAACTTGTGTTCCTAACGAGTCCCACGTGGTGTGGATGCTTCTGGTCCCAGAAAAATACTTTTGCTCCCAAACACTAAAGTGCATCATCTCCATACCACCTTTTCAGTGGCATGCTGTGCTGTAAGATGTCTCCACAAGGCCTTACAAGTTTTTGATGACTGTTTATAAAGTTTAATTAAATCTTATTTCATGTACAGTAGAGAATTTTTTAGCATATAACCAGTCTCAGGGTTAAGTTTTATCAGCCCATTTTGGTATTCCTCGTTCATTGAAAGTACGACTTGGCTAGCCACAACGTTACCTGTTCAAAACAAAAGCTAAAAGCTCTCCCCTCCAGTAAAATAACCACCGATGGAACCAGATGAGGCTGTGTCTTCTCACTGCCTTCACTGAATTGTGGAAACTTCGTCTCCCTTTAGAACATGATTCTTCACCCTGCTTTATGACTGTTCTCTATCCCTCACTCCACTCCCTTAAAACACGCTTTATCATGCCAGCACGACACAAAGAGGTAAAGGGCTCCCAGATTCCGGGTGGGTCAAGGTCATTAAAAGAAAACGCCAAGGGGTGCAGGGCCCACAGCCTCCCTTCATGGACTAATTGGCCGTGTAGTTACAAGCACCCTCTTACTAATGTGCAGTCTCTCAGCTGTAGAAGCCATCACTCACGATGAGGAGGAATACGTACCTAATGCTTGCCTTGTGCACTAAAGCCAGCTATAAGATCACGCTTCAACCTTTTGTTTCTCTAAAGCCTCGGCCTGGGCTCTCCTCGGCATTGAGATCATGAGAGGCTGGCCTGCAACACTGGGTTGGACACCCCGTACAGCGCACTGCATCTTACTCACAGCCATAAATAGCTGTCGATCTGCCTCCGTTACAGAACTGACGGGCCCTCGGGAACAAATGTGGCCCGAAGAGCGCTGGTGGTTATGAACCAATGACGCCAGCTCTGAAAGCTACGACTGGGGAGGCTTTAGGTTGTGTTGAAATAGAAAATTAAGGACAACGGTATCTTGAGGTGCCTAATTCACAAATCTTACACCACAGTGCCAACCGACTTTCTGAAAGGGCCGCTTCTCCTGCACAGACTCGGCGGCTCGGGTCTTTTTCTGATGCCGGCAGCGCAGCGCCGGCCGCCTCGTTGTTCACTTGCATCACTGCTAGGAGACTCGATGGCCTGCGTACTGTTCACCTTCTACTAGAAGCTCGAGTGGCTGTCATGCTGCTCTCCTGGAAGTACATGCGAACATGTGCATACACTCCCCCAGACCGAGCGTGACAGCACGAGGCACTCACGCAAGATCACCAGGAAGACACAGTCCCTGGAGTTTAAAGTGGGCCGCAGGCACTTTCCCGGAAGCTATTACCCCAATGACGAGTCCATGGCCTGCTGCTTTACCAGCACCCCCAGACAGAAGGGGGCCTGGGGTGACCCCACACTCGAGCTGTGCACCAGTGCCCGCCCACCCACCCACCCCACTGTGACCTGGAGGGTAAGGGACATACTTTGAAGAAAGCCTCCATGAGCATGCGGTCGGGGTGCAGGTCCCTCCACTGGAGTCTGCGGTATGCATGGTGGAACGCATACAGAATGAATTCGGGCATTTTGGGCGCCGTGCAGGTTTCGCAGTAATGCATCAGGTGTAGTCGAAGGGCTCCCTCCTCCCCCGGAAGCAGCTTGTCTGAAAGGTAAAGACAGTTCCTGCAGTGGAAGAGCTTCTGGGTTATCTCTAAAGCACCCTGCCAGGAAAACCAACACCGGGCCCAAATCTGAACTGAACGTCCAAGACCTAGGGTTCTTCACATTGACTCAAGGTCAAAGCCTTTCAGTTTAATAAGAAAGATTGTGAGGGGGGAAACGGTACCTGTTGGGCAGCTGGCATGAGCATTTCGTGGGAGTTGGTAGGGGTGGTCTGTTTTTCTTCAAAACATCTAAATACATGGCGTGTAACTCAAAATCCATTCCACAGCACTGACCAATTCTAGACGCATAAGCACGTCACTCACTCAGCACCTTAGCGGAACCAACGTTCTCCACCTGGGAATGTTCTAAATGATGAGACCTGAGCCCTTGCTGCAGTTCAGTTAGAGACTGTCCACTCACTTGTAAGTCATTCAAAAATGACTCACGTTCTTCTGCAACCTGGATCACGCAGCAGCAGTAACCACTTTAAGATCCTCAAAGGTCTGTGACTGTACAATGGCACTTAGACTCCGACAAATGGTTTCAGACTTTCTGTTTCTACGAAAAGGAATGGAACTGATCAAAGTGGAGCGCGCTGTCTACACAGAGAACAGAAACCCGGTGGGCTTCTTTCTCAACACTGATCTTTCGAGACATGGCCGACTATCACGGCTGGCACTCCTGTGCCCTCAATTCCCAGCCTCACAATTCATTCTACAGCACCAGGCTTTGAAGCCTGCTTTTACCCAGAAAACAAATGGTGGCACTTGTGGAAATCTGGATCCTAGAGGGTTGCGTTGATACACAGGTGAGGAAGTAAACAAAAGATGAATAGGTCACCTCTGAGGACAAGACTGAGCTTCAAATCCCAGTCCTCCCTTCGGCCAGGGCTTGGCAATTGACCCCGCGACCCTCAGCCTCAGTGGGAAGCTTGGGCCAGTCCAACCCCCACGGAGCTGGCTGGTGCTTCCCAGAGCTGCTCTTCTTTCCTCCTCTCCATTCCAGGTTGTCAGACCCCTCCCTACTGCCTTCCGCCCGCCCCCAGCCCCACCTCCACTTGCCTGTTCCCGTATACATCTCAGGCATTCCAACTACACTTCGACATGATCTTCCCAGGGACCCAAAGCGCAGACGTGTCCGATGAAGATCCAGAGGCCGGGAGAAATGAAGGAGAGAGAACAGCTAGGTGGGGGAATATGGACAGCCTGAGGCTCCATCCAGGTTGTGGAACCAGCCTGAGCCGGCGAGCTGTCCACGTCAGGACCGGGGACTTCTGAAGGACAGTGAAGCAGGGCAAGAGAACGGAGGGAAAACTGTCCTGAACTCCATCACGACATTTCTCCAGGGCATGAGGGCCAGGAAACTTTGAATACCGAATGAAAACATAGGACTAGCGGCGTGACACAAATGATGCCTAGGAAAATTAATCTAAGAGGGCAGAATGATTGAGCAGGAACACAAACCAGAGATAAGAAAAATAGCTAGAGGGTTTCAAAGAAACCAGACACTTCACCCACAGACACATAATCCAACTCCAGCTCATAGCGAGCCCACGGGGCAGAGAGCAAATGTGCCACAGGATTTTTGAGGCTATCAATCTTTATGGGAGCAGAGGGCCTCCCCAAGAGTGGCTGGCAGGTTCAAACTGCTGACCTTGAAGTTAGCAGCCCCACATGTAATGTACTATGCCACCAGGGCTCCTTAAGATGATGGGTAGGTAGGTTTACAGACCTCCGGATAGAAAACACTTAGACACCCTGGATGAAACAAGACCTCTCTTTAAATGCACAACTAGGACACTAGGTGGGAGAAATCACCAGAGGCCAGAAGCAAAGAGGACTGCAAAGCAGAGTCGACCTGCTGCTGAAGCCACAGCTGCCAGCCCTGGAGGTTTTAACAGCGCAAGGTTACTAGGGCTTAACTTCTGAGCACTAGGTTTGCAGGCTCCAGTCTCTGCCGGGAGCCCTGGATCCCTGTAGCCTCCGGTTCCACGGGGTCCCTTCGGACCAGGACAAAGCAATGTGCAAAGCTTTGCCCTCAGCCTTGTGTGTCAGCTGCAGGAACTTGCCCGGGGTGGAACGTAGGGGTGAAAGGGCTGTGTGGTCACGAGTCCTACCCCAACTGAAGTGGTCCAAGGACCCTGAGCCAATCTTGTATGCTGTTAACTGGGCAATAGGAGATGAGTCCCAATCACAGTCTCGTTCCTGCTTCTGAAGTCCTACCTGCAACTAGGATGAAGTTCCTTGCCACCAGTCATGCATCCTCCTCTGGGGCCAAAGTGGAAGATGCCAGAGGAACCCCTGTGCTCCCAGCCTGGCCACACCCCTAACCCAGGGCCCCTCCTCCTCTAGTCCCCCCTCCTTCTCAATCAGTAGTTCTGAGAGTCAGGCTGTCTCCTGTGGCTTTCTTAGGAGAGTTCTCGTGGTCTTTTATTCTACCAATCTCACTGCCCCTCAACTTGATCTTGACCTCCAGCAACCCCCCCACAAAAAAAAAAAACAAACAACAGGGTAGAACTGCCCCTGTGGGTTTCCAAGACTGCAGTAATTCTTTACTGGAGTAGAAAACCTCATCTTTCTCCCAAGGAGCAGCTGGTGGTTTCGAACTGCTAAATTTGGGGTCCGCAGCCCAACTCTAACCACTATGCCACTGGGACTCCTATCCTAACAAAGGAGAATGGCATTAAAAGATTAAGAGGTTATAAACTTCAAAAAGTTAAATGCATCTGTGCGTGACCTTTCTTCTGACACAAATGACTGACAACAGCTCAATCAAATCTCATAGGAGGGCAAAGGTGAAGTATCAGCCGAATGGCTTTGGGAAAAGGTGAAAAGCCGCCTGGACTAGAACATGACAGCATCCTACCTTTAAAACTCCCGTGCAGTGAGTCAATGCAGTCCGTGAACAAGTGCACGAAGCTGGAGGCCACCACAGCGTCACTTTCCAGCCAGGGGTAATGGCGCTGCTTGCTGTAAAGAAATGCAGCATGCACCAGAGATGGAAAGGCACCATCCCTTTAGAGTGCGCCAAGTCGCCTCTACAAAACACCATTGGAACTTGTAGCACCCAAGTTGCAAACAAATTTGAACAGCTAAAAACGAACGGTTTACCTTCCTGTGTCCTCCAGGACCAAGATCCACGGCTTAAAGAGCTGAATGACCACAGAATGCAGAATTCTCAGCACTGAAACAAAGCACCCAGGTTAGAATCCAGAAACAAGCACAGCTCCTGTCAATTATCACTGACGGCCAAAGCAAAAACCAAGCTCCCTGCCTCTGCACCGATGCTGACTCAGAGTGGCCCTGCAGGACAAGGGAGAACAGCCCGTAACGCTCCATAGGAGTAGAGAGCCTCCTCTTTCTCCCAGAGTAGAACTGCCCCTGCGCGTCTCCAAGGTTATAAATCCTTATGGGAGCCAAAAGAGCCTCATCTTCCTCCCGCCAAGTGGCTGGTGGCTTAAAACTGCTAACTGTTTGGTCAGCAGCTCAATGGGTAACCCACCACACTCTAGGGCTCCTTACAGAAAATCTGCCTTTTTGGGGGTGGGGAGGGGGGGAGCTGATACCAAGGGCTCAAGAAGAAAGAAAATGTTTTAGAAATGATGATGGTAACACATGTGCAAAGGTGCTTGACACGATGGATGTACATATGGATTATTATAAGAACTGTAAGAGCCCCTAATAAAATGATTTATTTAAACCCCCAATAAAAATGATTTTTAAAAAAAGATTTATTTTAAAAAAGAAAATTGGAATTTTATCTGTAGGCTCATGAGCCTATGTTGAGATACAAACTACATGTTTAGTAAACTGTTTCCCTTTGCTACAATGGGAGCCCTGGTGACACAGTGGTTCTGAATTGGGCTGCAAACCCCAGGGTCAGCAGTTCAAAACCACAAGCCGCTTGGAAGACAGGGCTTTCTACTTTGTAAAGAGTTCTTCGCGGAAACTCAGTTTCTCCCTTGTTCTACAGGGTTGCTAGGAGCTGGCATCGACTCGAAGGCAGTGAGTTAGGTTTTTCTGTTGCTACCATGGAATGTCTCTGAATTGAGGGATTTTCATTACACATCATGCAATATCACAAAGAATTTTAGAAGTATATGTTCCCAAGATAAATGCTCAAACATCTAGAACTCATCCCACAGAGCAGGGAATAAAAAGAAGAAAGGGCTGGAGGTTGAAACGTATGCCTTGGCGTCCTCGGAGGGAGGGGCAGAGAGCTGCAGCAAGCAGCCACTCTAAGTGAACGCACACGGGACACACGTAGGGATTCTTCCCTGCACCATCCATCTTCTCCTTCCTGGCATTCAGATATCTAGTCTGATCACAGACCTAAATCTCTTCGTGGGCCTGTCCAAGTGTCTTCGAGTGGCAGGTCGCAGCACCGAGCTCCACGTCCGTTACCTGTTTGGCTGCTGGCGGACGGGTCCTGGGCCAAGCAGGCCACTTCTGAGTCAACCAGCCTTTTCACAAGGTAGCCCAACAGCGTCTTCACTTCCTCCATGTAAGGGCTCCACTTTGCAAATAAGCCGAAGCTCTTGAACTCTAACTTGGATAACCGAAGCTTGTAGAAGAAGTTTGAGAGCCACTGGATAGTCTCCATTACCTGCAAGACAATGAGTCGCGCTTACCAATGCATGGCGCTTGGCAAGGCCGGGGTCTAACTGCAGGTCTTGGGTATGAGAAAAGGCTTGCAAGGCTCTAAACAGTGGTTCTCAGCCCTCCTCATGCCGCAGTCCTTCAATACAGTTCCTCATGGGGTGGGGGCCCCCCGACCATAAAACGATTTCCGTTGCTACTTCATAACTGTCATTTTGCTACTGTTATGAATTGGGCGACCCCTGTGAAAGGGTCGTTCGACCCCCCCCCCCCAAAGTGGTCAGGACCTACAGGTTAAGAACCGCTGTTCTATAACATGCGAAAAATAAATCAGTGCGCTTCCAACTCTCCCAAAGTCTTGGAAGGAAGCACTGTTCTAATAAACTCCCCGTGGACCTGTACTGGGAAAACTGATACAATCTGGAGCCGTCAGACACTGAAGACCCCGCCAAGGGCGCGTGCGCTCAGACAGAGGGGCTACAGCGGGGAGGGAGGGGAAACCCAGGCCCGGGGCTGATCAGGCAGCTGCACAAGGGGTAAACTCGGGTGTGAGAGAAAGGCAAAGGGGGTGCAGGGAAATAAAGGTCTGACTGAAAGCACAGGACTCTTAAAGACAAGTCACAAAACCCGCTTTTTCAATATAACGTTAATGTTTTCCAAATATTTAGAGACTTCCTGCCAACGCGACTGGAAAGACCAAAGACTACACACCTGCTTGTCGGACAAGGGCACACCTGGAGAGCTCTGAAGCATGGTGCTCTCGGCAGGGGCCGCCCCCTGCTGGCTGTCGGGGGAGCAGCAGCCCAGGGCCCGCAGGGTGGCTTTCCAACATTCGGGGCTCAGCAGCTGCTCGGCGGAGCCTGAGATGGAAAACAGGGAAAAGCCAGTCGCCTCTTTCTTGAATTCACTTTTCTAACTTGAACCCAAAAAACACAGGTGGAAATTAAATAAAATCCGAACAAATCCCCAAGACTTAGAGGACATGGTAGCCACAGCTAGAAGGGAAAGCCAGAGGCATTCACAACACAGATCATGGAGTCCGGTGTGGCACTGCTATCCTGAGTCCTGACAAGATGCTTCTGCTTCCAGTACATATTTACTGCTCAACTCACGGCACGGCACTGGTCTAGTTACCTAAACACACAGTTTACGATTCCCTTTGGAAAGCGTCAAGAAATTTAAAATAAACTATATTATATATATATGATTTTTTTTTTAGAAAATAGCTATGGAAATTAATACAAATACCTATCATCAATCTCCACACACTCTTCAACTTTCAAGTTGAAAATGCTTTGAAACGCCTTCCATTTCAGGATCCTTCCAGAAGCACAATTGTCATAAAATCATTACGTGATCATTAGACAGTTTCTATTAAATAACATGAAGATTTGGTATAATGCAAAAATTTTTTTTCCACTCCATCTATAAGCGATATGGAGGAAGTGAAAACACTACCTCACTTGCCAAATTTCATTAAATCACTGCTTGGTGAAATTCTAAAATATAAAAGTCCGCCATTTACTCCTCTAACCACCAACAGCTCTACGCTTCAGGGGGGTGCGACAAACGGTGATGGTGTGGACATTTTAATGTCGCCCTTTCCCTTGACAAATACAAACTACGCCGACATAAGACACCTTCAGAAAGTTCACGGGAAAATGCTTATCATGAAAAAGCTATGCCTGGATTCCCTTTTCTCTAAAATGAGCCCGTGCTCATTTATTACCACATGTGTAAACAGGATCTAGTTTGAGACACAAGATAGAGCAGATATCAGTTTAAAGGGGCCCTGCCATCAGAGCAACATAAATTATGCTAAAGCTGAAGCAAGAGGAAATAAATTTAAGGTGACGCTTGAGTGGAAGAATGATGAAATCCTGGTGCTTTATGAAAAATGTATGGGGACAATGCCCCAAAGAAATCAGCAGTTTACAAATAGCTGGCTTAAAAAAAACATACTAAAACCAAAAAACACAAGTAGCTGGGTCATTTTAAGAAAAAGAAGGCATGAGACAATGTTGAAGATAAAGCTCACGGCAGCAGACTATCCACGTCAACTTGTGAGAAAACAACTGCTCGTGCGCTAATGAAAGGGCACCTACATCTCACAGAGGCAACAGCCAACACCACAGCCATCTCGATTGGCTCAGCTTACACAACGCTGCCTGAAAAACACGTTCTGCTCAGTAGGTGGGTGTCGAGCTACTGTGCCCAGATCAGCTGCAGGCAAGGGCAGAGCCTTTCGAGAGAGACTTTAAACAAGACGTCGGACAGTGTAAGACATGACAAAATAATAATTTATAAATTATCAAGGGTTCGTGAGAGAGGGGCGGGAGGGGGGGAAATGCGGAGCTGATACCAAGGGCTCAAGTAGAAAGAAAATGTTTTGAGAATGATGATGGCAACAAATGTACAAATGTGCCTGACACATGGATAGATGTATGGATTGTGATGAGTTGTACGATCCTCCAATAAAATGATTTTTTAAAAGGTGGGATCAAGATCCAGAAGCTTCCACCCTATCTAAAGCTGGAGCAGAAGAAAGATGGCTTCACCAGTATGGTCCTGAAGACAAAGCAGAGCCAAGGCCACCAAAAGGGGGGAAGTGGGTCAGTCAGAGCGCAGGCACGGGAGAGGTCACGGCAAGTCCTTTCGAGCTGCTCGAGGCATTTTGCTTGTTGAATTTCTGGAGCCAAAGGAGGATTCCCAGAATCTTCCACCACGTCGATGCTTCCGCTGGCTCTCCTCCCCAAACCAGGGTAATCTTGTGAGAGTTTTGATGACCACCATTAGGCATCCACCTTGCAGTCCTGATTCAGCCCCTCGTGATTTCTTGTGTTTACTGAGCTTAAAGAGTCTGGACAGGGCATCCACTTGGACATGACTGCATTCCCAGGCCCCTCGGTTCTTTAGGGATGGTCTAAACCGCTGCTCTTACCACGTACAAATGTGGCTTGAACTTGAGCACATGTTGAGAAATAGATTATTTTTTAAAAATCATTTTATTGGGGGCTCGTATAATTCTCATCACAATCCATAGATTATTGTTATTTTATTTCTTCTCATTTAATGCAATATTTTTCATGAACTATTTGACGTCCCCTTAGAGAGAAAGTTCATTTGGGGTGGGGTGGGAGGCAGCAGTCAAAAAATTAGGAGGGAAAAAAAAACCCAAAGATGTATCTGCTATTTACAAGGTACCGAGAAACCACCCGGTATGTCCAACAGATCACCAAGGGGCAACGTCCTTCCCTTACCAGATTAATAATCTGCAGAAAGCATCCCCATTCCCACCAATGCCAGCTCTGCACAGCTTCAAGATCAAGGGGGAGTGCATGACATTACACTTGGCACTCTCTTGTCTAATTAGGGTCCGTTCTAACATTCAGATCGGTGGTGACCATGATTTTTAGATATGGCAACATTTGGGATGTGACCCATCTAGCACTCCAGGCTCACCTGGTGTCATGTTTCCAAATTAAAAAAAAAAAAATGTGGGCCAACCCGGCTATGTCATGATGCTCCGAACTGTGTAATTTTCCTCCATTCTGTGATCTGATGTAATCATCCTGGGTTGTTAGTTCTAACCTCGATGACGCTGATGAGGCAGGACTGGGTGGTATCTTGAGTCAATCTTCTGGAATCTTGTAAGAGAGTGCCAACAAGAAAAAAGAGCCCAGAGAGTGGAGCACAGGGTCCCTGCACAGTGAACTTTCTAGACCAGGGTAAGACGGATGCCAACACATACAGAGATTTCCAAGGGGTGCTATGTGCATGGGTGCTGAAAGGAGGTAAGGACTTTCTCTACAGCCTTCCCCAGAGCCGGTGCCCCGAGTCAGGGCTTCTAGCTTCCTTAAACTGTGAGAGAATAAACTTAAACTTGTTAAAGCCATCCACTTGTGGTATTTCTGCTAGCAGCACTAGACAACTCGGACAATGAATGATTCTAAACCCTGTACTTTCTTGTTTTTCAGTGTGAGATGGCATCGATAAGACCAGTTGATTCAGTCCTACTATTCACTGTCATTGAATTCATCCCAATTCACTGAAGACACTTACTTTGCATCAGCAGCCTGAGAATGTCACTGTACTGGTCGGGGAACTGGTAGAGAAGAAGGTAAGTCCAGTGCTTACAGAACAGATTAAATGGCATCAAAATATCTTCATCTGGTTCCAGGCCCCAGGCCGTCAGTGCCAAATGAATGGATTCCAGAAGCCTGGTGCGGTCAGACAGAGGAGGTTTAGTGGAGTGTAGCCATTGCTTAAGATCAAACTAAAAAGGAAAAGCAAAAAAAAAAAAGGCAAGCTTATTTACACTAAAAAATGATTTAAAGTAGAGAAAATTTCATTTGAAAATGGAAAACAAAATGTATATCCAAGGATAGCAAACGTATAGACAGGAAGTGAACTACGTGATTGGTGACAGTCTCTCTCTCGATGCCACTCTCTGCTATCAGAGAAAACATTTTCTACAGCTCCGCGGGCTTTCTTGTAGCGGACAACAAATGGCTCCTTGTTGGAGGCCTACCTACAGTTCTGTTCAGTTGCCTGCACTTGTACCTGCCTAATCATGGCACACTTTCTCTACAACTCCACCACTCTCCTTCTCTGGCCACAGTGCCTCAAACATTTTATCGACTGTGTTCAGAGTCTGCAGGGTTACCTGGTTTCATCTAACAAAACAACAAGCATTGACGTTACCATCTAGAATCCCAACTATAAAATCTGTTCTCTCTCATTATAGACTGAGATCAGGCTTTACGGATCCGTGGGTGGCAAGTGAAGAGAAATGGCTAAGGCTGTGGAATGCTTATCTGGTGAAGCACACTTGCTGCCTTGGTCGACCAGAGTTGGCATTCTGCTCCACCTGCTGAGAGCACCCTTGCCATACACATAAGGCACTGACAAGCTGCAACTCCTTACCCAACACCCCTGAGGCATGCATTCTGAAAAGGAGCGCGTGAAGGGACTGACAGGAATATTCAAAGTGCACTGTTGTGGAGGAAGCCATGGATGCCAGTCCTTTTTCCGTTCCTTTGGAGCCAGGGCCTTCCTCTTTAAGATGACATGAGTACACACAAGGCCCCAGAAGAGGCAGCTGCCGAAGACCATGTCGAATGCGGCAGGGCCTGCCCGCCTCTGGACGGCCTGGGCTGGGCAGCAACGGCCCTGCTGCAGCTGAGCCAGCGCATCGGCCGCAGTCACAGCTCACCTTGGTCAGCAGCATGAAAACCATGTCGCTGGTATCCTCGCTGAGAAAGCTGACCACTGTCCCGTAGAGCTGGATGAAGTCTGCGGGCGCGGCGTTGGGGGTGAAGAATGAGGACAGCAGCGAGCAGAGCCTTCTGTGCTTCAGGATGGTCTGAAGCACTTTCCTGCATTCTGATTTGGTGCCGCTGATGAACACCTGGAGAGGAGGAGGCGGGAAGGGTCACCAAAGCGCCTCCCTCTTTAGTTTTCATTTAAGCTTTAAGTGGGGGGTCAGTACGTCAGTCACATGAACAGAACTTTTTGTCCAGGAAAATGGGAACCAGTGGAAATGAACCTCAATTGTCATAGATTGATTGGACTGTCACTTCCAATGCAGACAATATTAAAAATTCTGCATAATCCATCAATCTGGTCTGCATGAGTCATCTAGCAAATGGGTCATACAAAGGAAACTCTTAAATTGTACCAGAATATACTGTTTAAGGATTAAAATATTAGGTTTGAAATTAGAAATTTATCATGTGGCCACCCTGCTTACTAAATGTCCCGGGTGAATCTGTCTAATACCCAGGAAATAAAACCTCTAGCTTCTAGATGTCGTGGTGCCGTGCCTTTAGAAAGCTAACATTCGGGGACAGACAACAAAAAAGTGGGTGAAGCCAAGGGAAGGGTACTGTTTGTGTCTCCACAGGAAAAGAGGGACCAGACTTCAAACCAGTGACAGATGAATGCAACGTGCTGGCAAGGAGTGGGGAGCCTGTGGAGGGACCTGAGGGCTCGGCCCCCATACCAGCTACATGGACAACTGCCCCTCCCCGCAGAAGAATTCACTTAAGAGGATGGCACTGAAGCTGCAGCTAGGGGAGAGGGACATACCTGATCAGAGCACACAGGAGCAAATGAATGGGGAGGAAGAGAGAGTGGAGCACATCCTGGCCCACCAGGCCTGGAGGAAGATATCCCTGTTCTGAACAGTCAATGCACAGAGTGGACCATATGACGGATTCCACAAGATACGCCGTCCCTTGTTGGCCCAGGGGCCTAAGGGGGACAACACTGGAGACTCAGTGTTGGGACTGGCCCAGACTGACCCCGCGACATAGAGGCAAACCACTAAAGGCGTGTGGCACAGCAACTGTGGGAGCAGAGCAGGGAGCCCCCGAGGGAGTGCAAAGGGCAGACTCTGGGGCCAGAGCATGGCACCCCATGGGACCTGACTGAAGGAGACACCTAGAGATGAAAAATCAGACCTCGATCTATTCACAGGTTTTTCTTTAATTTTTTTGTCTTTTAATTAATGTATTCTGTTATGGGTCATTGGTTTTCCTTTTTGTACTTATCGCTGTGCTCTCATTTGTTGCCTATCTTGCTATGGCTTGATTTCTGGTGCATATTATTATCTCTGCAGATCTATCTAGATAAGACAGACTGGATGAACAGTCTGGAGGAGAAAACAACGGGACCGATGGTTCCGGGGGGACATGGGAGAGGGGGAGGCAGGGGTAAGGAGGTGGTGCTGACCAACCCAGGGACAGGGGAACAACAAGTGATCCAAAATCAGTGTCAAGGAGGGTGTGAGAGGCCTGGTAGGGATGATCAAGGGCAATATAACCGAGAGAAATTACTGAAACCCAAATGAAGGCTGAGCATGATAGTGGGACAAGAGGAAAATAAGGGGAAATAGAGGAAAGAAATAGGTGACAAAGGGTATTTACAGAGGTCTAAATACTGGCATGTACATATGTAAATATATTTATATA